ACCCTTTTGGCCAAAAATACATTTCTCATGCATTCATTCTCTAGAACTCACTCATATAACCTCTTATAGTGACTTAAAATTTTTTGACCATCTCCATGAAGTTACAACTTCATATTCCCATCTTTTTATCATATATGTTGTCTCAATCCAACATATCTCTTTACTATCTACTCTTTTTCTCACTACTCGTCATACTCATACTCTATCTCATCTCGTGTTTTATTTTCCAATACTCTCCTCAAATTCTTTTTTTTTCTTTTCACTCTTCTCTTAATTCAATTTATCTTACATCTTGTTATACTTGGGTTTCTCTCATCTTACATAAAATGCTTTCTCACATTATGTGTTTATCACAAATCGTTATTTTATTCTCAACATAAGTGCTTTATACTCTTTCACTATAGACATATATGTCAAAATTAATATTTTAGTTATCAAAATCACTTTATCTCTCATCATTCTCTACTCTTTTTCAAACTCTTAAAAGAATTATCATATAAATCTTATTATCTCATATCCTCTTGTAAGTTCTAACATATTGGTTAATTCCTCTTATATTTAAACACTTCTTGTGTCTTTAATTAATATCCCTCTCATCTAACTCTTTAATGGTGATCGACTTTAATTGGTAAGGAAAAAGGTCCCGACAATTACAAATCGATTTTTTTTACATTCTTTTTAATAGTAAAATTAATCAATATTCCTACTAATATTCTGAATATTCCTCCATTACTCTTCTCGTATCTTATATTTATTTCAATTCATTATTATAACTCAAGTCAACCATTTCTCTTAACCTTCCTCAATAATTATTTGGCACTCAACTTACGACTCATCCTCAAGTCACGAGTGCAAATACTCATAGCAATTTTCATCATTAAATATCAACTAGACACTTTGCAAATCGATCTTATTATAAGTTATATTTCAAATGTTATCACTTATTCATGAATCACTCAAAACAATTTCAATCTCATTAATCTCTACAATACACGTAATGTGGTTAATTTACTCAAATATCCACAACCACTCACATCACTCAGATTATTGATTACTTACTAAATTTACTCAGATCAATCGATTCAATCACTTAGATCAATATTACTCATTCAAATTAATTACTAAAATTACTTGGGTCAATATTATTTACTCATGTCAATTACTTTACTCAAAATTAATTACTCGGATCATTCAATATAATCATGATTAATTACTTAAGTCAATCTCAATCCTTTAGATCATTTAATCAAATTAATTAATCAGATCAATAACTCATATCAATTGGATCAATCACGCAGATCACTCTGATCAATTACTCAGAGCACTAGATCAATAGATGAATCAATCAATCACTCATATCAATTGGATCAATTTCTCAACTCAATCGATTACTCAGATTAATCAAAGCATTTACTCATAAATCAAATTAATCAAATCAATCACTCATATTAATATTAATTTCTCATAGCAATCATTCATATCTGATCAATTACTCTAATCGATCACTCTACTCAAATCAATCTCAATCGCTTAGATCAATCACTCAGATCAATATCAATCACTCTACTAAATCACTCGGATCGCTCAGATTAATTGGATCGACTACTTACTTCAATCACCCTTACTATCCTTGACTTAGGATAATTTCCCAACAAAATTTATGGTTTTTATCAATCTTTCGAGCCTTGTTACTCAATCATATTAACTCCGATTTGGAGAAAAATTATATTGTTGGAAAGCCTGTTACGAGTACTACAAATTTCATATAATTAGTTTCATCTGAATATGTCTAGAACCGGAGTTATTCAGCTGTGAACATGGAGGTCTGAACATTTCATCAATTTCGCATATTTGAACAACCATCTTTAAACAATCATATCTCATTCACTACACATCCGTTCTGTCTGATTCTTCTTCATGTGTATTCTTTGTTATATAGACTATAACTTTACTTTACAAAGTTATTTCAAATCAGCTATAGATATCGACTGATTAAGCTGCAAAGTTGAAACCTTGCAACTACCAAATTTCCAAATCAGCTTCCAATAAATTTTTATCTAGCTTTACAGGCTTGTAATTTCTTCATTAAAACTCCTTTTGACCTGATTCTTTTTAATATTGTTTCATTTTCAAGTCTATTACAAGTTACGTTTTTACCCTTTTTCTTTACCTCGCCGCTAAGGTTATCATTTAGGGCCTCAAAGTTAGCACTTTATCGCTTTAATTAATATCACTCATTTCATAAATTTTATCAGATTAACAGGATCAATCAGAATAATCACTCAAATTAATCACTAAGATTAGTTATTAGATTCAATAATAATAAACCTCATATTGGGATTTGGTCTCGTCATATCTCGGAGACCCAAATCATAATCATCGTTTATTTATATAAAATAAAGAATACAACAATAACATCCTACAATCTAAATCTTCATTTTGTGCTTCTGTCTTCTCTTCCAGTACCACGACTGCTATTACTTTTATCTGCAAAAACACAGAAATCCCTACTACATCAGACACTAGGTCAGGTGAGTTATTCTCTTATCTTTTATTACTTTCTCTCTCATAATTATAATTTCTCCTCATAGTTACTCGTCCAGCTCATCACATATTCTGCACATATCTTGATTTTGTCTTTAACTTTTTCTACTCTCTATTCTATCTCTCATACTCTATTTAATTTCATCTGTACTCAGAATAATGTACTTTATTATATCTCATTTCAGTTAAGTCTCACTCACTATATATATATATATATATATATATATATATATATATATATATATGTATATATTTCATCTCATACTCCCTCTCATATACTCTATATATCTCATCTTTATTTAATCTTGTATTCTATGTTGTACGTCATTTCCGATTCGTTGATAAAAGTTTTTATTACAAAAGAAAATGGTATTGTACTTTCTCACATCATGACTCATCTATGTCACGTCGTGAATACTGCAAATTCAACAACTTCCTTAATTTCCTGATTTACCCTCACTCATCTTATCCCACTCTCACTACATTAAGTCCTTCCCATTAAAAACTTATTTATACTCTAAGATTACTTCAATCTTTTATAAATATCAAACCTCTTATCGATTTGGCAACTACGCAAATTGACCAAATACCCTCATTGGTATAATCATTTATTTTGACATTTTTATCTATCTTTAATACATATACTTACATAAAAGTCATATTTATTTATATAATCAAAGATTTTACTAATAACTTTGATATTATACTAATTTCTCAATTTTATCCCCGAAGGTAGTGTATTCATATTTCAATATTATTCCCGAAGGAAGCATACTCATATCTCATCATCTATCCCGAAGGAAAGATACTCATATCTCATCATCAATCCCAAAGGAAAGATACTCATATCTCATCATCAATCCCGAAGGAAAAATACTCATATATCATCAACAATCCCGAAGGAAAGATACTCATATATCATCATCAATCCCGAAGGAAATATGTTAATCGCATGCTCTGGTACATGTTTATATGTATATCTCATACATATATGCCAATCATATACATACATGCTTAAATACACGATATCTATGTATATTAATGCTCTATTATTAACTCATCATTTGATAGCATTCACTTAGTGCCACAAATTCACACACACACACACACACACACACACACATATATATATATATATATATATATATATATATATATATATATATATATATATATATATATATATAAAATTTAAACATATAATAATCATAAGGAAAAGTGAGAGAAATAACTCACCTTATTCTTTAGGGCTTGTTTGGATGATATTCCAATTTGGGACTTCCTTGATCAACCCTTTTCTCTAGATTGCCTAATCAAAATTTAACTTATATGCATCATTAACCAAATCATTTACATAATTTAACTCATGTATATCAATTATCATTTATAAAATCATATCATCGTCTCATCATTCATAAAAAATCTATACATATATCAATCATGAAATATTTATAGTAAGTTCATCACATCTATTATAACATTACAAACATCATATTTCATCATTCAATGACTTAATTCATTAAATCACACCTTTCACTTATGAACCCTAAATCTCATGGATTCAATTTCTCATATAATTATTCAATCTACACACAAGGTTCATAATTATTGAAATAAGCTATAATTAATCTATACAACATCAACTACTATCTCAATTTCATTATTTGAACTCAAACTCTTCACTTAGGGTTTCATAAAAACCTTCAAAATCTTACCCCAAATACGAAATTAGAGGGTTAGAAGATGAATTTCTTACCTTAATTCATCAAATTGAAGCTTAAATCATGTTGTCCCTTCAAAAATCGACCCATACGGCTTAAGTGTGTGTTTTTTGCACCTGGAGGTGTGTTTGGGTGTTTGGGTTTCGGATAGAATGATTCACATATCATATTTTTATGGTCAGAACATGTTCACGTCGTGAGCCTATCTTGCTCACGTCGTGAGCCTATCTTTGTAACATCGTGAATACTGGAAATAAGCAAAGTATGTTGATGATTTCGTTCCAGCTTTAGGAAGTTTTTGTCCCAACTTCAAATGTGCATATCTTCTTCGTTTCTTATCCGTTTTTTATGATCTTTATATATGCGCGAAGGTGGATACATAATCTACATGTTTGGTAAGTCATATCTAATTGAATTAATACAGATATTAATCTATTAAGCGACGAAGTTGGCCTAAAAATCATAAAGTTACTAATTTTACCCTTTTGGTCAAAAATGCATTTCTCATGCATTCTTTCTCTAGAACTCACTCATATAACCTCTTATAGTGACTTAAAATTGTTTTGACCATCTCAATGAAGTTACAACTTCATATTCCCATATTTTTCTCGTAAATGACCAAATTGCCCTTTTTGGTCAATATTTGATTAAAAGTCAATCTTTCTAAATTATGGGTTGTTACATAGGATGATAATATTTTCAACTAAATCAAGTCTTGAATCATAAGAGATTAAGAATCATAACATTTGTTATTCATAACTAGGGAAGGATCCCCGTTTTGTGGGGGTAGAAGGTGTTCGGTTGTAAAACATAGAATCACAGATGCACGTAGACACATATTACAAACATACACATCACATACACATACTGTTTTGACCATTTTAAAGTGTTTTTGTTTGTTTTGACCATTTTGCTCCTGCTTGGTGTTTTCCTTAGGTGTTGCCTTTGATGTTATGAATGAATTGTGTCCAGCTTTACATAAGCCTACCTGCAATTCAGATTCATAATTATTAATCTAGTTAGTAGTTATGGTATCTTTTGACATTTTCAAGGGGCAGGGTAACAATTCAGATTCATAATTATTAATCTAGTTAGTACAATGTTAATAGAAGTAGTTTTTATGGTATTTTTGACATTTTCAAATGGTCATTCAGTCTATAGAAAAACAAAACAACCTTTATATATATATATATAACACTTTATCCAAATAAACATAATTATCTATATAGGACCTGAATGGTATAAAATCATAAGTTCAATTAAAAGTAAAAGGCGTGAGACTACTTACTGAGAGGGTAAAAACGTAAATTGTGATCATTTTGGCTGAAATTATTTCCCACTCGATTAATGTGAACCACACCTTCCATACATGAAGGTAATTGCAAGACATTGTGAATGTAGAATTGTTTTGATGCATACTTTGGGATGTTTTTCATTGTCCGTCTGTCATGCATACAAAAATTTTAGCAAACTATGTTATAAATGCATAAAATATTAAAGGTTCTCTTTTTTATATTTGTTCAACCTTATGGTTGTGAATAGCTCCGATTTATCAGTGAACCATGATGGGATATCACGCACAATTTGGACTTTGTCTTTTAAGTAGTCAATGAAATGGTCCAAGTCAAATAGGTCCTCAAATTTCCTAGAAAAAAGCTACACATGAAATGAAATTACAAAAAAAAAAGTGACACATCAATCTTCTTATTCAAATTATGTGAAACCTAGTCAAAATTATGGACTGCATCCAAAAGATTAGCATACAAATAAACAAATAATAAGAAAAAAAAGTACAATCTAGTAATAGAAAGAAATTAAAGTAAGTTTCTACAATAAAAAAATAACTAAAAGTTTGTTGCTACTTGGTTGCATTATGCCCATTCAAAGTCAAACCACAGAATTTACTTTGTAAAATAAGAAAAAGCAACAAAAGATATTCCAATGCTCCCCTGTAAAAAATGCCCATAGGAAAAAAAGAAAACATTTCATAAAATATTTATACTTTATACTAATGAAAAAATAAAAAAAAAAAAAAAAGTTCAGAAAAGGAAGAATATATTACCCAACAACCTCAGTTTGAGTGAATTAGTGATTACTTCCATCTAAGTTGTCCCTTCTCATCTCATCACTTAACCCTAACAGAGATTAAAAAAAACAATTAGCATGTTTCTATAAATGTTTTTTCTTTCTTTACTTGGTCTTTTGTTCTTCCCTTCTCATAACCAGCAAAGATTTTAACAGATGGATTTTCTCCAATCTTATAAACACAAATTATATATAACCATGTAAAAATGAACCATGTTGGAATGAAATAAGCAGCCTTCCCTTTGTTGTGGTTCCCTTACGAAATAAAAGTAATCGAGGAAATCTATCACTGGAGGCTTTTCTCTGTATTAAAATCCTTAAAAGCACATTCTATATCAAATTGCTTACATACATATATGTGATTTCACAATAACACCCCTCAAATTTCTTACCTTTGTCTCATTTACTGCATGCTCCCATCGTTGTTGTGAAAAAATCAATGATTACCAGATCACCTAACGTTATGGTTGTGTTGGGTTCTATCTGGAGATTCACTTTGCTGCTATTAATCAAAAAACTTTTATCATCAATAAAGGCAAAATTGACACTAAATAAAGGGAGGAAGTTGAAACGTGAAAGAGGAAGAAACATTACCTTCTAGTTCTTCCATTCCTGAATCCAACTTCTAATTAGAGTCTTCTCACAGGGAGCATCACCAATTTAACCTAAACCACATATAAATAAATGGTTACCAATCTAACTGTATTGTATGTATAGAAATTGAAAGCATTGCCCTTACGTCTGACCCTGACTCACAATTTGAGCATAAGTATCAGAAATTGAGGACACTCCGGAGAAAGAAGAGTTACAATTTAATCTTACATCAGTTCCTTACAATAGCGTAAGGAAAAGGTAAATCACATAACAAAGTTTGAGCACAAACCTGAAGGAGACAACAACAAAATTGTGGAATAAAAGACGCACACCAAAGCGTCACCGGATGTCAGCAAATCAACCGCCAGGCAAGAGGGTCAGTTGTGGTTCACAATCGAAGATTTAGGGGTAAGAAAGGAGGAATCGAAGTAGCAGGGTAGCAATTAGGTGAAATATCAATTATTTTGGTCCCACAAGTCAGAAGAATTCCATTCTCAGCGCAAAATGTTAACCAAAGTCAAAATTAGCTTAATGCCGTGGGAATAAGCAATAAGCAATAAGCAATAAGCAATAAGCAGAGATGCTTATTAAAATCAGCTTATTTAGCTTATTCCCACCACAATAAGCTGATTTTTAAGGATTCCTATCCAAACACTTAAACTTAGCTTATTGGTGGGAATAACCAATAAGCACCCTCTTTTTTCGCTATCCAAACACCCTTTGAAACAGGTAAAATGTAAAAGCCATGATAAGAAGACGGGATTGGGATTAGGATGGGTATCGAACGGCAATTCCGAAATCAAAAATAGAAAAGAAATTAAAATTCATAATCAAAGACGATATTTGAATGTTGAATCACTTTGCTTATGGTTACCGCCGGCGTAACCACCGCTGGCGCACACCCCCAAGACGTCACCGACGGTAGGACCGATGTCGCAATAAGTTCGTTGATATTGAAAAAGAGGAACATGGAGATGGTCGTCGTCGTTCCTGTAACATCCCACCTCTTCTTACTATAGATAACTAAACTGATGTACTTGTGGCCCGATGTAACCTTGGTAGTTCCAGGCTTCCAGGCGATATCTAAATCAACGGTGAAGCACTTGAGATGGAATTGGACCAAAGAAGACGTCGGTGGCATCTATGCGTCGACTGCTTCGATAGTAAGGCGGTGGACTAAACGTGAGTATCCCAAAATGAACAATCGGGAAAATATGAGAGGGGATAAAAAGAGCGGTGGTGGAAGGGTCTAGAAGTAATTATGTAGACTAAAGTGACCAAGGTTGAGGGATTAACCCGATGAACAATACCTCTGGGTCAGGTACTGTTCAAAAAGGGGCTTCTCTTTTAATAATAACAATAAAACTGAGAAGTAGTAATATGAAAATCCTAAAAATGGAAGGACAAAATATGAAAGATGTAAATAGGTGGACTAAAGATGCCAAAAACCCACCAATTTCACTATTCATAAGAGTGAATTTCTTATATATATATATATTATATATATATATATATATATATATATATATATTAATGTTTTCGGATAAAAAATATGGATCATAAACATTTGAATCATAAATTTTTTGGATCAAATCTTTTACAAATGTTTATCATTCAACGGGTTTATGATACAAAAAGTATGTAGTGTTTATATATTCAAAATATAAGAGGAAGAAACAGATTTTGGATCATAACTACGATCCATAACTTAATATAATCCAAACATTTTATGATTATTTATGATGGAAAATTCATATAATATGCATCATAAAGGTTTGTATCATAACTATTAATAACTGAAATTTAGTTAAGATGTAAACTTTTATGCACCAAGAAGCCTATGATCCAAAAATTATTATCAAAAGGTTTTGGATCATGACTACGATCCATAACATAATATGATCCAAACGTTTTCTGATTATTTATATAAGATGGACAATCCATATAATATGCATCAAAAAGGTTTGTATCGTAACTATTAATAACTGAAATTTAATTAAGAGGCAAACTTTTATACTGCAAGAAGTCTATTAAACTATGATCAATAATTTCTATGATCCAAAACGTTTTTATTACGATGGCCAATTTATATAAGACCAATCATCAAAATTCTGACGATAACTATTAATAACTATCGTTTAAGATCCAAAGTTATGACATATAATGATATATTTTCTATGATTCAAAAAGGAGACATGAATCATAAAGTAAGTTTTGGATCATGATATGATCCAAAATTATATAACCCATAAAGCTATTTTTATAAAATAATATAAGATGATGGATTATAGAACTTTCTATAAGATGGACAATTTCTATAAGTTGGCAAGCTTCCATAAGATGGACAAAAACATGATCCAAATTACTCATCATAATCCATAAACTTTCAATAAGATGGAAAATTTCTATAAAATTGAGCATAAAACTTTATAACATGAATCATAAACATACAAACTACTATCTTGCATATCCAAATTCACATATTGGTAAAAACAAACAATGTACCTTACTTGAGTTCATAACAATCCTAATATTTACAAATTAAAGGATAAAAACTAAAACATCAAAGATGTTGCCAAAGAAATCACTTTTAACTTAAACATACTGCTCCATAAAGTTGTGTAGACCATTCAAAGTTGTGATTCCTTCTTGTTTTCCATGCCGGTTAGTGTCCATAATTTCAAACTTTAACTCAAAGCCTAAATTATATAAAAGATGAATCATGTAAAATTAGGGATAAGAAAAGGAACCGACCTGGCTGGAACCGGCCCGGGAACCGAACTTGGTGGAAAATAGGTACCGAACCGGACCGCCGGTTCTACCGGTTCCAGTTTCTACCGGTTCTTGTCTTGTCTTCAATGTTGGAACCGGTCCTCGAGAAATAGAAACAAACGGTTCTGGTTTTTTCCGTTTCTACCGGTCCCGGTTCCAAAAATCCACAACAATATCGTCTTGATCCCGGCCCGACCGGTTCCATCGGGTTCTGGTTCCGGTTTTTGCCGGGTCTACCAGTTTTTTCCGGTTCTACCGGTTCCATCGAGTTTCGGTTCCGGTTTCGGTACCGGTTCCGGTAGGTTCCCCGGTCCATATGCTCATCCCTATGTTAAATAGCTGCATAAATATTATTTTAAGTAAAAAGGTGACATGTAAAACAATATGAAAACATCAACATAGAAAAAGTATTAAAGAAAAATTTCATATATATCCTTGCAAGCATTAAGAATTACGTGTATATCCTCCCAAAGTTCAGAATTACGTATATATCCTTCTTAACATATTAAACTCTCATATATATCCAATCCTATAATTTAATGAAAATATTAATCAATTTAATATCAAAAAATATATTTAAAAATCATAAATACAAATAAAATTACCAAAATACCCTTTACATATTATATCCAAATTAAATCTTATTTTTTTTCTAAATCGTAAATCAATCAAAAGATTCCCTCGATCAAACACCTTTATCCTACCCCAAAAACCGAGTTCATCTCTCCCTCCTTCCATCTTCCGGTCTCCTTCACAGCCTCACCTCCTCCGTCGCCGTCCCTGCCATGAAAAGGGTTATACCCACCTCCGACGTCTCTACTTCCTATCTCTTATCTCATTAATCTTGTCCTTCTCTCTTTCTCCCCCCTCACTGTCCTCGCCGACACAGATCAGGAGCAGGTTGAAGACATTAGCGACATCTTTGTTAATAACGCCCCTCTCACTTCCAACAATGCTTCTTTTACTACGGATAGAGACAAGAGCTTTGCCGGTATGATCGATCGTGCTATGGAGAAAGAGTTCGCTGAGAATGATCAGAAGGTTGGATTATTAGATCTGATGCTTTCATTTAGGGTTTTACAATGTATGCTTTCAATGGCTTGCTCGGATTCTAATTACTGCATTTAATTGCTTTTTTTATTTTATTTCTTCCTTCCATGAAAAAAGGGGAATTCAACAGATCATCCATTATCATTGGTTACTTCAGGAATTGAATCTTTTGTTTTTAATTGAAAATGTGCAACATACACGTTCAGTTATCGTGTTTTGTTAGTTTAAAAAATGAATATTAAATAATATATGGTTTTGAGCAATGAGTTCTAACAAGATAGTTTTATGAGAATTGAAGTAAAACTATGTTTAGAATCATTTGGGAAGTATTGGAAGTCTTATGAGATTCCAATCAAAAGTCAAATATTGAAATTAACGAAAATGTAAAATTTAATTTGGATATAAGTAAAAATAATGTTATTGAAAGTTGTAAATTATCTCGTTAGAAACGTTTAGGCGAAAACCTCATCGAAATCCGAGTTATAACGAAGAAGTTAAGACTTATTGAAGTTTCGCGAAAGAACCTGCACGACCCCATATGACATAAAATGTGAGTTTACGATAAACTACTTTTTAGCTTAATTGATCTAAATGAAAGTCGTAGTATTCGTTAAACCGAGAATTTTCATAAAAAGAACGTCCAAATTTGACTTCGTATGAGAAGTTGTGATTTTTCTAAGATTCGGCATAGCAATACACAGCCCGAAACTTGAAATAAAGATCGAGTAATTTTTATCCGAAACAACCTAAACGAGAATCGAAGATCTTGTCAATAGTAGTACAACGGTAAAAAGACAGACGAAAACGGACGTCAGATGAAGAAGTTATGAATTTTTAACGGACTTTTCCTGTCCCGGCGTGTTAAAAATATAACTTTAAAAATAAAGTCAAAATTAGCCGACGGAGTTTAAACGAAAGTTGTAGAGCACGGTCTCGCCTACGCGTGGATATATAAAACGTCAAAAACGGAGCTCGTATGCAAAAGTTACGAACTTTTGAAGTTTGATAAATCAAAGTACGCCTAGCGTACTCGTGTAAGAGACCCGAAGTCCATCATCCTCCCTACTCCTTCGCATGAATGCCACGTGTCGTAGCCTTGACGTGTCTGATCTCATCCACTTCGTACGCCCAGCGTACGAAGTTACGCTCAGCGTAGAGAACCGCCATGCAGTACGCCCCGCGTACCGGAGAGTTACGCCCAGCGTACGGAGAGTCTTCAGACTACTATAAATAGAAACCGAGACTTCCCGAATTTTGTTTACAATTTTAACACTTTCACACCCTCTTTCATCTCTCAATTTACCCTAACACCCCCCCCCCCCCCCCCCCCCCCCCCGAAGCCTAGGAAACATCCCCGACACCCGAAGCAAGTCCGACACTCCGAAAGCCCGAGAAAATAATCTTTTCGAGTTGAACTATGCCCGCGCAAGGCCCGGTTTTCAACAAAAATCCCTGCTTTCGTCAAAGAAAGTCATTTTTAGAGGCGAAGTGTTGCCCAAATTATCATTTTATCAATCGGTTATTTCACGGTGAGTTCAATATATAGGAACAATTGTATGTTATATGTTCAATGTGCCTTCCTGTGTTATTCTGGTTTTATACCTTTGGCTATGTAAAGCATAACTTGTATACTAACGAAGTTATACCTTTGACCATGTGATCAATGAAAGGACTAGTATCACAGTGGTATTGGTATGTAGCCTGTGGCCGTGTAGAGCATGTCTCGTAACAGATTGACTTCTACCACTATGGTATTGGCAGAAGGTTAGATATGACTAACAGCCTGTAAAATCTACCTAAATGTTTATTCAGAAATCGTTTATTCTTCCATGCCACATGGGCAAAAGTCTTATTGATATATATCAAGTATTGAAATTGTTATGTCTCATTGATTGTAAATCTTTGAATCATATTATACGTTGATATGGAAAGCATGTCATACGATACTCATCTGCCTTTGTTGTTCTTTGTCCCCCTTTGTTTCTGTCATGTTGATATATATATATATATATATATATATATATATATATATATATATATATATATATATATATATATATATATGGCATAACGTTATATTGTAACTGTTATTGAACTCACTAAGCGTCACCGCTTATCCCTCTCAGTGTTTAATTATTGCAGTTGATAAACATCCAGTATAGTTATGTACTGTTAGAAGATGTAGAATAGATAATATTATAGCTTTTGTATTTAGTGTATAAATTCCTGGGAAATTATGTAATATATAAAACTTTATAAAAACCTATTTAGTTGGTTTGTATCCAGTCTTTTGTAATAAGACCATATATGTAAAATATGTTTATGAATATGCATGTAGCATGTTTGGAATAATATTGTAAAGTTTAGAAAGGGGTTCTTTCAAAATGTTATGGCTTCCATTTTATATGATTCTTTTGTAGCTATATTGTTATCTAACTTTAGAGATCTTTCATCTGGAAGCTCAAGTTTGACTTGTGATTAGAAAGAAAGAACGATATTCAAAATTTATATGGATCTCTTAATTAGCATGGTTATCAAACTTGAGCTTATGTGACATAATCATCTTAAAGGTAGAATTGATATAATACAAAAGAACCAATAACTAATCTTCCTAAATCCTAACTGAATTTGCATAAGAGGATGCAGGCAGCTTCAATAACAGTGTTGTTGGGCAACATGTTGTTCTTTCAATTTTAATTCTTCTGATTCACTGAACCATATTACACACCAATGTTCAATTTTTTATTCCGAGTATAATAATTGTGTATATAATACTCAATTTGAAATTATCTTCTACAATGGTTGTTTGTGTAGACACTAATATTTTTTTCTTATGTTTAGTGAGACTAAACGAATCATTATACAATGTTAAGAGTTTTGGATAAATTTATTTGTCGACGAAGGAATGGTGGACACCTTGTATTGTTTTGGGTCTTGAGAACATCATCAAATATCCGAATGCAAATTGGAAATCAAGGAGCTCTGGTAACAAGGTGGCAAATGAGGCTGAGTTATCACTAAGATCACATCTACATGAAATTCTGGTAGAAAGAGAGCTAATGAGGCCGACCCCAAAATAAAAGCAAAAAAATTAGTAGGGTGTTATTTCTTTAGGGATTAGGAAGCCATCTCATAAGTAGAGTGTTATTTTAATGTTGTTGATGTTGTTTTGTCAAAGTAGAGTGTTATTGTTTTAGAATTTTATTTTCTTTGTATTGTAACTTTCACAGCATCATGCTGGTTTTTATATTTAATGCATTTTAGCAATTCATAAAAAATAAAAGTTTGATGGTATTTCATTGTTTACCATGCACTGATGATAATTTGGTAACATGTTGGATATGTTCCTGTTGCATAAATACATTACATAAACAGTCCCTATAGCCGAAAATACATTACATAAATAGTCCCTATAGCAGAAATACATTATAGAAATAGTCCCTATCGCAGAAATACATTATAGAAATAGTCCATGTGCATAAAAACATTACAAATATGGTCCCTGTTTCAGAAAAATATTACATATATAGTCCATGTGTCAGAAAAACATTTAAAAATGGTCCATGTGCACAAAAATATTATAGATTTGGTCCATGTTTCAGAAAAAACATTACACATATGGTCCCTGTTTCAGAAAAAACATTACAGATATAGTCCCCGTTTCAGAAAATTTTTAAAAATGGTCATTGTGCCCAATAACAATTACAGATTTGGTTCATGTGGTAGAAACTCATTACAGAATTAGTCCATATGGCAAAAAAACATTACAAAAACGGTCCATATGCAGAAATTTATTACAGATGTAGTCCCTATAGTAGAAAATGTTTATATAAATGGTCCTTGTTAGAGAAATACATTATAGAAACAATCCCTATGGCATAAATTCATTAAAAATGGTCCCAAATATATATATATATATATATATATATATATATATATATATATATATATCTAATCAAATTTTAAATGTTTTTTCTCATGCAAATTCTACCGAACAACAAAATTAAAAAAATAAACAATCCATGCAGAAAGCATTAAAGTACTAAAATGTAATGAAACTCATAACAAAAACTCATGATGTTTTGTGTTCTTTCCTCTTGCTAGAGGATGCTTCATCAAAACCTTGAGACACGGGATTTTTGCAAGACCTTTGATGGTGTCCATATAAACCACAACGGGGACATCTGTGTCTTTTATTGGGCTCATCATGTGGTATAATTCTATTCTTTTTAGGTCATCCAGGCGGTCGTTTTATAATAGGAGAGTATATCTTATCGACTGTCTCTATATTCACCCATTGATCTTTTCCGGGCATTGGACCAATTTCTAAAGCATATGCTTCTTTAAACTTGTTGACTGTGAAATATGTATCAACATATTTTTCCCAACTAGGCTCCCTTGTGAAAGCAATAAAAGAAGCTGTATGCACACATGGAAGGCCGGTAACTTGCCATTTTCGACAACTACATTTTTTCCCATCCAATACAACATCCCAACGATATCCTATGAACTTCACTTGTGCTTTATTATCACTGCTTCTACAAACTTGATATTCACCCAAGTTCTAATGGGTTTTGAGCACTATAACATCCCTATGGTACACATACAACCCTAATGATTTGGATCTAAGTTTTTTCTAATTATACATGCAACATTCTTTTTCCAAAGCATAAAACCTAACTAGCATGCAAAGGTGATATTTGAATCCTAAAAACTAGTTAGAATATTACCTTAAGATGTAGCTTCTTGAATTTGGCCTTTCAAGAGCTTAGCACCCCAAGTGTGATGCCTCAAATGGTTCACAAAACACCAAGAGAAAATGGAGGAACTTGAGAGAGGTTAGGAGCACAAAAAATCGGCTATACTCTTGTTGTATCACATGTGTATCTGATTTTGGGGCCTAAGGGGTTACATATATAGTGTAAGAATTCCAAGAGTCACGTGTAACCCTAATTCTTACACTTAGGCTTATGATCCATAACCACTTGATAACTCTTTGGACTAACTTAGTCCATCACCAATCAATCATGGATCATTAGCCCAAACTATATGTATCATTGATTTACATAATCATCCCCTGTAAATTTAATTAGTCTCTTTTGATCACTAAATTAATTCCAAATAATTCTTGATCAAATACCAATTAAATAATATGATTCCTCAATTAACATATTATACTTATAATATATTAATAAATCACAAATAACCTCTTTCTCAAAATACATCCTATCAAATTGCTTTGGAGAATGCAACCCACAATGGACCATGCTACTATCGGGTCAAGTACATACTAATTATAGTTATGGGCTTAGATACCTAATCCAACAAGTTCTACATGAGAAAATAAAACAAGAACAAACTAATATCAGGAAAAATATATATTTTTAATGCAAAAACAATTATGTATGTATATAGTTCCTTAACTTGCCTTAGTGATTTTTTTGAGATACTTCTTTGCTTTTGGAACTAATGGTCCTTTCCATTTTTTCACCTTACTCCTTTTCTTGTCAAATCGTTCCATAAGCTTTTCTCTAATTGCATCAAGGAGATCAAGTACTGGTTTATAACGTATGTCACCTACCCAAGAGTTAAAAGTTTCTGAAATATTGTTGGTAATGTAATCACACTTAACAAGTGTGCCAAACTTACTTCTACTCCATATCTTTTTATGGTTCTTGTTCAAATATGAAATTGCATCTGCGCATTTATTAGCAATTTCATTTAACAATCTATCATGCTTACTAACATAGTAGGTATTTGTAGCCTTCCATAACTTGGTCATGAAAAAGTCACCTCGAAAATGTTTTTTGAAGTTTCTACATAAATGTCTTATGCATTCTCGATGCTCAATATTAGGATAAACCTGTGTAATAGCTAATTCCAACCCCTTTGCATGTCAGAGGAGATAACAAGACCCTTTGGTGTACCAATCGCTTTTTGTAGTGATGTGAGAAACCAAGTCCATGATTTTGTATTCTCTGCCTCAAGCACACCATAGGCTACTGTAAACATACCATTGTTACCGTCGATACTTGTGGCAGCAACAAACACATCATTAAATTTCCATTTCAAATGACAAGCATCAAGCCCAATGTAAGGACGAAAACCAACAAGAAACCCCTTAGAGCATGTTGTTAATGATATAAAAAAGCATAGGAAATGTTTCTTTTCACTCACTGTCTGCAAATCAATCTCCACCACACTTCCTGGGTTTCTCTTTTCAAGTTCTTGTTTGAAATTATATATATTTACATAAGAGTCATCCCACTTGTCATACATATCGGTATAAGCTTGCTCTCTTCCTCTAAAAACTCTCATATATGGTACTTCAACATTGTAGGAATGCATAACCCACTTTTTTAGGTCGGCAGGAGAGACATCGCTTCAGATTTCAACTTGTCGGTGACAACATCAGCAATCCATCCTTGAGTGGCATGTTTGTTACCGCTCTTGTTGATTCGAGTACAAGAATGAGTTTCTACAAATTCTTTTACCTACAAAATTGCAAAAAAAAAAAAAAAAACATATAATTATGTTAACATAATAACAATGTCGAAGAATTTAGTATTATACTTACTTCAAAAGTAACCCCATCTTGTGTAAGAGAAGCATGAATTCTCCACCTGCATTTTAAACTCCACAACATGTTATAAGTCTTGTCAAATCACTTTTCTCAATGACATACTCAAATTCATTTGTTAGTGCATAATGGTTTAATGCTCTTCTAAAAGCAATTACACTTGGGAATTTAGAATTCACTTTCATAAATGGATTCATCTTACTATATGCATAAGTTTCACCATAATTTATAAGCTCATATTTGTTATCGGAACTATTAAGACTATGATAGCTTTCTTGACTTGGACAAACTGAGTCCGTCTCATTTTCATCATCAGACTCATCAATAACTTTATCTTGACAACTTAACGGTTTTGGGTTATACCTTAATTTTTTGGTTGTCGCATAAATTGTTACTTCTTTATCCTCATTATACATGTTTAGCATCACCATGAAACTCTTATCATTATCAAGTTCAATAAAGCATTGCTCTTTTGCATATTTGTCAACAAATACTATTGACAAAACAATATCGCTTTGTGATGGATAGTGTTTTTTCACCTCTTCAACTAGATGATTTTGTATGAAAATGTGTCTATATAGAGACATTTTGTAGATCCAAAGCAATACACTTGCCTACATGAGTTCCTAGCTAACCGAAAGAAGCCTCCATATTTCAATTTAAACTTGAATTCTAATATTACTTGTCTGATAACCACAATGAAAAAAAACAGTTAATAAATCTGAAGGGAAACATAAAGTATCATCAACTGTTGATAAAAACTTACTCAATTATGGGCGAGTGAGCACTTATGTCCCATCTTGGTGCATCAACCTCATTATCCATCAAAGAGGAGGATAATAATCCGTCTGTTGCAAACCAAACATAATTGAATGCAGAACCAAAAATTAATCGAATGCAAAAAGTTAATCAAAACCAAAATTAATCGAAGGAAGAATAAGATTAACGTGTTGTGAAGAAATAACGTGATTTACTACTATGGTTGTAGCAACGATATTCAAAGAAACAAAGGCAGACAAGTGGAGATTTCATGTAATCGAGCGGCGATATTGGAAGAAACGATGTCACGGCTTGAAGAAGAAAAAAACGTGATTGGGGATTTCACGTTTTTGGGTTTAGAATTCACGTGTTTGAGGTTTTGGCATATTAATTAGGTTTAATGCTAATTAAATCTATTTAGTTCTATTTATTAATAATTAGGGAAGGGTAATTTAGTACAATCACCTTTTATTTTTATTTTTAAATATATTTTTTGGTTTTAAATCGGTTAATACCTCATTAAATTATAAAATTGGATGTAAATGTAATTTTAATAGGTTAAGAAGGATATGTATATATGTAATTATGAACTTTGGAATGATATAGACGTAATTCTTAATGTTTGCAAATATATATATGAAATTTTCCCAAGTATTAATACGTTTAAGTTCAACTTTAATCCCACAAATTTATATGATCCGTCACTTGTAACCCCTCTATTTCGTGAAATGATATTTTTCATCCCTTTACTTTTTAAAATATCAACTTTGTAAAATATCACTTTCACTTTTTAATTTCTAAACTTTCGTGTTCATCTACTTTCCTAATACGCAACAAAAACACGTAAAAACTCGTGGCAAAACGCGGGTTCAGTTACTAGTTAACTCTAATATGTCTGTATGTTTAAAAATCTAATTTTGTTGTTTAAGAAGACGTTTTTTTAATTAAATAACTAATTTTTTTTAACTTAACATAATAAAGTTAATACATCTTAGTTATCATCGTACAACGAATGAGAAGGCAAACGGTCGACAAGTTGTGCCGCTAAGCCTTTTTGTATGGTAAAGCGAATTCTTTTGAAGACTACATCCATAGATCTAGGGGATATAACATTGTTATGCATGATCCGTTGTACTCTAGTAAGAAGCTCCATCGCATTCGGCGCAAGAAAACCAAACGTATCAAATGCAAATGGTATGAACATGTGATGATTTTCCATGCACGGTTTCTCATGTTTGGTGACCTTGCATGTATCAGCTTTTAATGCAGCCTATCCCGTCGTGAAACCCTCAGCCCTTAAGCCTACGAGAGGGGATACCCCCGTAAGGTCCACACATGTGTGTTTCCCTCCAACCCATCCAAAAATCAAAACGTCATCCGGTCTAAGGGTTGACCTTCCTTCTGTCGGATCAGGAAATTCACAGCAGCCTCTTTTTTGGCGGAAACCCTGACATGCTTTAATATGTCGACCAAAACGTCACTAACCATATTGTGCCTGTATTTGAATCCTGGGAGTTCTTTGCAATGAACTGCATGCTCTCCAAAAGAGTTCAAACATGTCTTGCGGCACACCGGACATATCTCATCGGCTGGGAATATTGGAATCATGAGTCGATATTTAAGGATAGTACGATACTCCACAGGAAACATATGTTGGCCCAGTCCATTTATAGGGATAGCTAGAAGAAAATTTTGAGCATGTGGTGCACGTAAACATTGGAAAACTGGTTTTTGTCGAGCCGTCATGTGGAAATGCACTTCCCTATCTTGGACAATTTTACTAAAACGGGCACTCGCCAGTGTATTCTGAGATTTAGGGGGGCGGTATCCTTAGTAGAAAAACTGCTGAGGTCAATGTCCGGAAGCTTGTTACGAAGAGAAGCTAAGGCACAAGCATAATCAGAATACATACCATAAATGCCGCTATCCCGTAAGATAGTGGTCTTGCAATACCAAACCACCAAACCGAATGGGTAGGGAGGCAACAAAAGCATATAACTTTATATGTGATTTTCATTATTTCAATCACTAATTAGGATTTCAATTTGTAATTAGGATCGCAAACATATACCTGTAGTGTAAATTACAGAAGACGATACACGATCAATAAGGCAGTTGTAGCTGAGCGAAAAAAATCACACCATGAATTGATCCAAAAGTAGATTGAAGCAGCTGATATAAATATCAGAAGAAAAGATAAATTACGATTTTGTTTTTACTAAATCGTTGAAGATGATTATGATCTTGATTCTGATTTGATGATTCATGCTTTAATTAAACTAGAAAGGTTACCCCCGCTACGCGGGGGCCAGAAGCTTTCAATGTTGTTTCCGAGTTGATAAATATGACAGACATAGAAAGTGCAAGGATGAAAAGTCTGGGCTTTGCCCCGGACAAAAAATGTAAAAGTTTTGACTGCAAGGACCAGAAGTGTGAAAATGGCTAAAGAATTAAAGGGGTAGGAATTAGCAACTTTTTAGAAAAGGGATCAAAGTTGTCAAACCGTTAAAGTTTTGTGGCCAAACTTTAAATATTAAAAGGTTCCAAAAAAGTGTAAAAATATTGATTGCAAGGACCAAAAGTGTCAAAATGGGTAAAGAATAATGAGCAAAGTTGCCAAAAAAACATCCAAATTTAGTATTCCTAACTTCCAACAATAATACAGGGACCAATTCTGCCAAAAAAATGGAAAGTTGAATGGAACACAAACAAAAGGACATATACAGGGACCGGATATGTAAATCAAGGGACCAAACCTGGACAAAGTATGCCAACTTCACTATTCCTTTCTTCCACGACTTTAATATATATATATATATATATATATATATATATATATATATATATATATATATATATATATATATATATAATAATACGCTATATTTGATTTAATGTCAATTTACGGTTAGGATATATTTGCTTTTATTCAGTTATTGGGTATCATATGGATTAGGAAACTGGACTTCTTCCATTTATCCTTCATTTGGAAGAAAAAGAAGACGTTTGTTAAAAGATTCTCATGATTATGTGGCTTGGTTAATCTTATAAGAAAAATAAGAGAACCAAAGGGAAAAGTTATACATATAACGAACGCACTATTCCAACATATACAAAAAACGCATGCATAGAATAAGAAAATGGTAATTAACATCAAACACCAAACACCAACTAAAAAAAAACAACTCCACAAATCTTCACATTCTTGACTAAAAAAACCACTAATAGTTAGCAACGCAGTAATTTACGACTCACCCAAGTATAAGTTGTTAGCTAGCCTTTGATTACTTACTCCCAAAGAACAAACCAACCAAAAAAAAAAAATACTATCCTCTAAAACCTGTGCTGCTAGTGTGTATCTATTCACCATTCTCGTTTCCTCCTGACATAACAAACACAAAAAGTTAACATTATTATTTATATATTTTTTACATTAAAAACACTCCAAATACACACCTTCATTTCTACGCTTGGATGTGCATGACTTGAAAATGTCAGTAAAATACTCACTAAAGGGTTTCTGAGAAACAGGTATCAACTTCCCAACAACAGCAAGAGGCCAACTAGTAACAATTAAGAATTAATCAGGGGCATAAACATAAAAAAAAAAAAAAAAAACAAAACAAAAAACGTTTACAACAGAGGGTGATATACTGATATGTAATTATTAGAAAATACAAGCAAGATACCTGATAAAGCCAATCACAATTGAGACCAACCACAATTGCCAGGTCAGCCTTGTGGTGGTGGTAAATTTCCCAAGGAACATGACGATAACAACCTGGAATAAGAGCGATATTTACAACATTGCCACATCATAGTGTAAGTAAGTAAGTATTATGACAAGGGGATGAGAATCTTACTTGAAGAACAACGGTAAGGCCCACGATACCCATAAACAAGCGGTTTTTGGTGACTCCTTTGAAAACATTCATTTCATCAGGCTTCCTAGCATTAAACTCATTGAATATCTGTGCATTGCATGCATATAAGAAATTATAAGTATGTTGCTGCTATTATGTATGGGTAAGGGATCACATATGAGAATTTTTTTGACCTGAGCAAAGACGAAAGCATTGAAAATGAGAGTGTTTTTCACTTTCTTAGCATGCTCGTCGGATTCCTTCTGTAAATGTAGGATTTCTATACCACGGAAATTGAGTGTAAGGAGAACTGTCACTTGATAAGCAGCCTGAATTAACAAATTCCTCCACATAATATTCGTTATAAGAGGCTCCCTAAAAAAAAAAAAAAAGTTAAGTTACAAGTATAAATATAAAATAATATTATGACGAAAGTCAACATGGAATTGGTCAAACCTGCGGCCCACGGGGTGTCGGTCCATGAGGTGATCGGTTGGTGGTTCAGTGGCTAGGGCAAGTGCACCAAGAGTGTCCATGATAAGATTCACCCAAAGAAGCTGAATTCAAAATTAAGAAATTAAAATACAATAATTAATACAAAGTAAGTTGCTATTATTTGACAATATTTTTGACAAATAAGATTTTGGCATGAGAGAGAGAGAGAGAGAGAGAGAGAGAGAGAGAGATACCTGGACTGCATTAAGGGGGACATCGCCTGATGAAATTGCTGCCACAACGTTAATGACAAGGGCAGCAACATTTACAGTAAGCTGAAACTGAATGAATTTCTGTATGTTTGCATACACAGATCTTCCCCACCGTACAACCTGTTATAATTAAATTAATTCACACTTTAAATTAATCATTGGAATACAACTGATTTTTTGTAATTAAGAGCATTATTACTTTACTATTATATAATATAAGACAATACCTTTACGACTGAGGCAAAATCATCATCCAAG